ATGAGTGTAGAAAGAAGACATGGTAATCCCTGGTTTTGGAGGCTTACGAAACGACAAGGATCACGTGCCAGTGCGCGGACTTGGGGGTAAGCCAGTGCCCTTTCCGTGGCTTAGTCACTTTTTCTTTCAGGGAAATTCAACGATTTAGAATGACCAGGGCTAGTTCCTAGGAACTAAGTGCTCACTCCGGGTCAACGCGAAAGTATAGCTCGCTTCGACATACTGCTGATCGTCTTTTCACATTGCGCAGCTCGTTCATTGGGCGCAGTTGGCTGCCCCACCAAATTTGGTAACCCACTTACGCCACAGTGTTCGGAAAGATCGTGTAACAAAACAAGGGGCGCCGATCTAGCCGGTAATCTCAAATTAGAAATAATCGCCCCCGTGCGCATCGAACTCGATGTTACGAGCCGTTTATCGAAGGGCCCAGTCCTACGCGAGTTGCAGGATCCAATCCATTTTCGGGCTCATTGACGCTAGCCCGAGTGTAGGAGTTAGATTGTACAAAAGGACGAAAGGCGATTATTGAATCGTTCTAGTACTAATAATTACAATCTGAAGCTTCTCCTGACCACAATTCCAGGCCCAAGGCCATCTTTGCTTCACCACGCTAAACTTGAGTACTCCGTCTCATAGAGGAACGAATTTTCGTCCAGCCATGTGCTTCTATGCCAGCCCCTTATATTGTTACAGTACATTTCAATACAGGATGTCACAAAGGGTTGTGAGACAATCAGTTTTCCTCCAATAGAGACCCTTGGGTGACAATATAACCAACCATGTGCTCTGATGACTTTTTTCCATTCATTCACGCTATCCGTCCTGAGAATACAGGGAAAGGGCCACATCACTCGATGGGCGCCAATGTTCGTGCGGCTGACACTTCGCAATTTTGGTGTTTCTCCACACTGACCCCGGTAGCTATGGAAGTGAACGGATTATTAGAACTCAGAGACAAAGGTGATAGCAGAGGTGAAAATATCTCCCACAAAAATCCAATGTTGCATCATCGCCCCAGCAGGCCACTGCAAAATTTGCTAATACAGCGGTTTGGATTCCCAGAAATTGCAGCATATGATTGAGCGGTCGAAAAGCCCAGGTGCTCAGGCTATTTCTGACGTTGTAGCAAGCAATTCGCAGCTTATCGAGTCCCAAAACAATGGAGCCAGACAGTCACTTGAGACTTTCGTCCACCGGGATAATTGAGGATCTCATGATTGTCAACAGAATTCTCTGTGCACGCAAGCCGACATTCCATCTTCACGTCCTTGAGATGATTCTCTAAGACATTGTCACCAATGAAAGATGCAGAGTGAACGGTGATGTTGCTAAGTTCCTTCTTATCAACAACGCTGTCTGTGGGCTTCATGACTCCAGGCCTTGCAGCGCAGATTCCCTTTGAAAACGAATGTGAGGTTTCTGGGGTATAAAGAACACACAACTTGATATTCTTTTCAGCTCGTCCAGTGTTTCCTCTTGCCGCATCCCTTGACGCGCATCTTAGAGGATATAGTCCTGGTTTCTCCATATTAAGCTGTTTTTGCAGGTTGTGAACCCGCTGCTTAGTCTCCGACGATGACTGAGCTAATGTAATACCTTTGCTGACGGCGTCCGTTGAAAAATAATTCCCAATACCAAATAAATGCTGCGTGAATTGTCAGTGCTTATATCTCTTAGGGAAGATTCTGGATATTACCTGAGCTAACAGCAATAACTCCTTTTCAGGTAAAAGTTCAGTGTCCAAGCAATCCTTCACTGAGAACAAAAGATCATTTTCGCGTTGTTTCAGTATTTGCAAATCCTTTGTATCTTCTTGGAACGAGTTGATATCGAGCTTTTGGTATAAGTCATAGTCAATTTGGGTGATGCTTGTGGCGAGAGCCAGAGGCCCGACTAGCTGAAAGTCATCCAGAAATGCGGTGCTAGCATTGAATGGCTTATTCCACATATTTTCGCAACCCGATAGATACCTTCTGAGGCGGGGCCGGAGCATCTTCATACGTTGCAGTATGGTCTGAGTGGGAACAGTCTTGTGAAGGGCTTGCCCAAGAGGATCGGTGATGAATCGACGAAGTGGTGCAATCAGATCTAGCCTTTTCGTATTCTTGTGTGCAACACAGTCATATGCATGTTGAAACGTGGTGCAGAGGAATGGATCAGCACTAGCTTCCTCAGCCTCTATGTCCTTTATTACGTCAATTCGAGCTCTAGGGTAGTAGGAATCTCAACAGACCTTTTTTATCTGATGCAAGTGCTCCAGTCTATCTGGCCGCTTCGTGTAGAACCTGCAGATTTGCCTATGGAGTGACTCGTATTCTCCGAGGAGATGCATAAGCTCGGGCAAACTTCGACCCCGGCTATGCTCTACCCATGCTTCGAAGGGAACGTGTCTGATTTTCTCCGAGCTTTGAGATATTAACAGCGGTGTTACAGCTCCGCAGTTACTTTGGTGAATTTGATCAGGGTCAAATCTCCAGTTTGTTCCTTCTGAAAAACCCAGCCGTTGAAATACCTCCAAGATAAAAGGTAGACCACAGTTGAGACGAAAATGCTGCAAAGGTGATCTGATGCTAGCACTATCCCCGCTGCACTGGGTGGAGGTCAGATGATCAACATTGGTTGAAGCATTGCTCCAAAATGATGTGGAATGGGACCGGACTTAGTGTATAACGGATTAACTTATACTGTCTGGTTATATCGCAAATGTCGGCGTATGGTAGAACTTACCTTCGTGAGATTGTTGCGTAGACTCGGTCAGGAACGTGACGTTTGTATATTTCATACTGGCAACAATTCTTAATGTGAAAAGAAGGGGAGATCTGGGTGTGAGGACAGCCATAATATATTACCTTGCGGACGATTCGCTCTGCGCCAGTGATTACCAATCGCCATTTCCGAAGTCACTAGTCTGCGTGGGTGTATCGTAGTGAATCCTGGTCAACATGAAGACAAGTGCCTTTTGTGATCTAGAACTCGCATCTGACAATCGGGCCCAGGTTTATACTAGTGTCATGCACTCCAGAGATGGATCGTTCACCCGATTGGCCCCCTTTATTATTACATTGTCTTTCAATAGAGGGTGTCACAGAGGGTTGTGGGGTCAAGAGATTCTCCCCAATCAAAAGCACATTCTGACAAACGGACCAATCATATACCCTGGTTCTTGTTTTCATCCATAGAGGCTTCTCGTCCTGAAAATACATGGAAATGACGAGGCACTCAAAGCTCCATGACTCTTCGCCGTTCTCCGTGCGGTCGACAATTAGGGCAGTTCTGGCATTCCTCCAAACTGACTTGCGTTATCCGGCCTGAAATTTGCTTAATCAGAAATACGAGTCAGAAACAGCGAGCAGAGCCTTACATTTTGTGTTTGAGAATCTCATCAAGTCGAAAACATTCGCCGAAGTCAGGATTGCCATACTCGTCGTAGTAGATTTGAGTCTTGTCGGTTTTAATGGCTCGCCCCATGGAACACTCGTAGAAAATCAAAAAATCATTCTGCTCCTTCGATAAGAGGCCTTGATGATTCGTGTCTTTTGTGGAGCGACAGTGGTCCACAACATCAGAAGAAGTTGCAAATCCTGTCATACACAGTGGACAAGCGTAATGTATCCCAGCATTCCTCGCTATAGTTTTCAGGATTTCAAGCCTTTTGTCTCCATTAGGTGGCTCCAGACGTGTTTTGGCTCCAAGGACGAATGAAACCTTGAAGCAAGCTCCATACTCCCGCGGGCCAGGTTTACTGAAATCCAGGGGTAGATCATTAGCAGTAATATTGCTCCATCCGATAGCATTGCCCAGGCTTGCGAGAAAGTTGGCAAACCCTCCTTTTTGATTTACCTCACCAATCCATCTGTGCTGAATATCAGCTGGATCCTTCTTCCCTTTTGCACGACAGTGCTTGAAAAAAATTGGCGGCGTCGGAATATGAGGTATGACATAATGGACAAACATAAATCTTTTTAGAATTGAATAATATAGTTTCCAACAGCGAGCAGTGGGCTTGGCTGACCATTGTTTTAGTTTGATGAGGCAGGTAGTGATTCTGGTCAAACAAGGTCTATTTAACAACGAAGAGTGTGGATAACAGCTTTAATATATTATTCTAGCAATCATATCTTCCTTTGATCCATGCATGATACATTTTGATAGTCATTATATCCCGCCCTATTCGATGCATGGTACATACTTAACGCCATAGTTCTTGTACTTGTCTCAATACTGATCACAAAATGCCATGTATTTTGCATATTCGATCCAACGGTACGCTCAACATCGCACTAGCGCGTCTACTTTAAGGAGCTCAATTGAGTGGAAGAACAGCAAAACGGCGGTGACAGCTGAACACGTTACTACTACACTGTTGCCGGGACATGTGGCCAATCTGCATCAGAATCAAAGGAAGATACAGTTGTCTGATCCACTAGCCCTGAGTTACCCCACGGCTAGAAGTAACGAAGAATCATAGCTATGAAAAAAGGACGTATGTACAGTACCCAAAGCCTGGTATACCGAAACAGGCTTCAAATAGATTGGAAAGGAGGAACTTGTGCAAACGGTTGTTGGCCCATAGCCAGATCAGTGGAGAATCCTGAGTAAATGCTGTTTATCGAGGGTACTGAGGAGACTTGCAGAGTTTCCCCTGTGCTGAATCCTGTCATCATTTGCCATACATTGTACTGAACAGGCGTGATGTGAACTGGATTCATTATGGTAATTCTTGAATCTGAGACTTCATTTGGAGTAAATGCAGGCTGTCTTGCGAATGCGGGGTAGCAGTTTTGGACAGGGTACGCGTGCTCAGCCGGGTTGGTCGTGTCTGATTGCTTATTGATTGAGGCTGGAATTGCCTGTACGTCCTCGGCGATCGCCTGGAATTGAATTGGAGTTTCCGTCCTCCTTTCCGCATCACCGTTGGTCCGTCCGTACTTGGCATGAAAATAAACCGGACCCTTGCCTATGACAACATTCATTAGGTTCATGTATCAGCACTCTTATTGTCAAGACTTGCCTGCTTTTATGCTCTCTCGCTCCTTGCACACATCGAGAATCTCATAGATAATCTCCACGCGAGATGGGTCATTCAACATTCGCTTGATATCGCCCGCGAGTTCTCTGAGACTATTACAAGTGATTCTCTCATCTCGGACGTTGCTGATTATGTGGATCAAAAGTCTAATGCGGTCTATGAGAAAACATGAGCATAATCCGAAACTAGAGGATAAGCGGGCCAATATACCGTCCTTGAGTAGATGGTCGGGTTCTTTGTGCATGACATCAGCGGGCCACCACTCTGGTTTGCGTTGGTCTCCTCCCTTGTAGGGGTGGGTATGCTGTTTTCGAGGCTGGATGAATTTGATGAATTCCTTAGCAATCACGCGACAGTTGATCTGCTGGAGGTTTTTAAAAGCTGTTTCATAGTACTTCATAACCTCTTGCGGATCTGCTAAATTCACGGGAGTCCGTGCGTAAATATTCTCGCCGCCATCGCTGCTTTCTCCTAGACAGTCATCAGATGTATCTCGGGAACCTACTAGCCTCTGTTAGAACAACGGCCTATATCTAAAGCTGTTATTGACATACCATCAGTCGCAGGATCATGGTCAATTTGCCGTTTAAGAATGTCAAGTAAGTTTTGGCGAGCCTCGGGAGTAGAGACGATTGAAGCCAATTCCTGGGTAGAATCAGACTTTTCCACTCTCACGTTTCCCTCGCTATCAACATATATCACCAAATAGCTCTTAGAGGGTATCCTGACTGAACAGTGTCCAGGTGTTAGATCCTAAGTACTGTAAGTCTTTGTACAACGATACATTTAATTGCACACTTACAAGATCATGCCGTTTAATTGACCTTAAATCAAAAGCCGGCGGCGAGGCAGAACGCTTCATGGCGCCAATGAAGTAATTAGCCCTTGGAATGAGACTGAATGAAAAATTCTAGTGTCTGATTGTTGGACAACGGCAGCTAGATTCAGGGTAGGGCCATAGGTAGGAGCGAATATTTCCCAGTTATATAGAGGCGAAAAGCCATTTCCCATCGGGCCCTGCCCCTGGTCCTGCGTCGGTCCTGCATTTAGAAGAGCCAATGGTAATGCCATCAGCCTGGAGGCTCGAGTTAGCTTCTGCAAAAGTCCTGCAGTCGCAGCGGGCTTGGATGCGCAGCTACCTGTAGCGTTTTATTGGGTGACAGAGAGGCCTGAGCGTCTGAGGTCCTCTTACTCTAATGCCCGCTCTAAGAACCAGCCTTTCACGGGACACAGAATCCACTCATAGGCCTTAGTACAAGGCTTCTCAAAATTTATCGTTTGCTGATAGTCTCATACTGTGTATCGAGTAGTTTTTCAACGATGATGTTGATAAGACATATTGGTGTCAGCACGTATCATCCTTAAATTGGTGATCCAGCCAGCCTATCCAGCGATTAGATTTCCTCTCCGTCCACGACTGCTATTTTGCTAGCCGAGACCGAGTTTCGAGGTGTATTCCTGATGTTTGAACAGTCAAAGCACTGTCTATACCAATATTGCTCCCCACTTTAAGTGGCCTAGTAATTCCAGTAAAGGCTTTGACCAAGCAGGGTGGACTTGTCAAGGAAATACACCGGTTACAACCTATATTCACTTGTATTCACTGACAGCGCTCCTGGTTTTGACTAACCTGTTAAAATACTCGATACAATGGCGCTATATATCGCCTTGCATTAGCGTTTGGAACTAAATTGAAGCAACACTGAGAACACTTTACCGCGATCATTTGTCTTCCGCCGGCCCCTCGCATCCGCTGCCCCTGCCAGGTGAAGGCGAAGGCTGATCTTATTCCCAAAGCACAGGTAAGATCCCGGTCCGGTATTTCCATTGTTCCCATGGTAGGCTGTATCATAACGTTCATAGCACTGGCCATATCCAGTCTAGATTATAGTATTTTATAACGGGCTTTGACCAGACCAGACAAAAATATCAACAACTTAAATAGCACTCAATCACCTCCATTGCTCCTTAATAAGGCCTGTCCTCCATTAGACATTCTATCCATCATTCCATCCTCGCAATTTGTTTATTGTGCATTTCTAAGTTCACTTTTAACATAGGTCGAGCGGCGTATGATACCACTGGTGTTAAAAAACCACGAGCACCACCACCGCCACCGAAATGACTCAGCATCAATACGGCAATATCTAATTAGTACGTTTGTACCGGTTAAACTGTCAAGATAGGTTCTGACGAATAATTGATCGGTAAGTTCGAGGGTCGACAATCTTATCTTGCTGATTGAACATGCGGTTATCATGTTAGGTGCTAAATTCATGTGTTTATAGTATTAGGGCTGTCTTTCCTATTGGATTGATATGTGCTGAAGTAGATTGACTTTTTTGGCATTCAAGAACGGACTTGGTCATTGAAGAACCCACTTCTCGCCAACTTCCATCTCAAAATAATCAAATTACTATGGTCCATTTGTTATGTATGGCGGGTGATGTACTATTGTGCAATTGGCAATAATAAAGAACATTTCAGGCTTAATACCAGGCATGCGGGTCTCTCCCCAGCTGCACGGATGCTCGATCTCGTGCGGTTCTGGCGTTCAGTCGCATCATGTTCAAAGATTCCTCGGCGCTTGATATTTCGATCTTTTCATCCCGTAGAGACTCGGCAAGTTCTTGCAGGTCCCCACAGCTCCACTTGGATTTTACCACAGCAGAAGTCGCCTTCTCCATCTCCTTGAACTGATCCCAGGGCCAAATATAACGAGAACCACCGAGAGAGAATTCGACGTATAGCTTGTCCTTGCCGCACAGACCATTATCAAATATGATAGACTGTCCAAATCTCAGCGTGTGAACTTCAACGTGTTATATAAAATATACCTCATCTTTGCGTAGTATTGTTTTCAAAAGTTTCCGAATGGCCATGGCGTCAAAGTTTCAGAATGATAGCTCCGTTTCAATTGTTTGTGATAAGCTTTAATGGAGGGGAAAATTCAAACCAGTCTCGTATCTCAAGAAGACTGCTGGTATGAGGGATAATTGTACGAAGATATTTTGCAATCTGTGAGACCGGGTAGCCGTCGAGGGTCGGCAGGCCTTGAATACCGAGCACGATGAGTCTCTGTCGAGGGCAACAGTTCTCAATTATGTAGACGTGAAACACCCCTGCCCTTTGGCATATGCCCCTGTTCCTGCATGGACTCTACATTGAGGAGAGCCAATAGTCAGGCCATCACCGCAGTACATTGAATTAGCTCCGCGAAGGTGCACTAAATGCGGCGTGCGTGGGTTCCCAGCGGTCGTAGGGTTTGATTGGACGGTAGAGTAGTTCTAGCGCTCGGGGTCTTCCTCGTGTAGTTTCATGACTTCTTCCACAGCCTGGCGTTTTGGGGGCTTACTCCGCCAATCTCTGGCCTACCACTTGTACCGGCCCCCAAATTTGGTCCACCGGGCTACCGCTGCGGATAAAAAATACCTGTTCTCATGATGAGAGTCGATCTACACAAAGTCTGGACCCGGTATTCCCAATTATGCGTCCGAACCGGGCTTAGTCTCAATACCTGTATCAGTCCCTAGTAATTATCGTTTGCCCCAGATATCAGGAAGAAAGCGTTAGCCCGGAATTTTCAAAAATATCATATCTTGAAGCGCAGATTAGCGTCGCTTCTAAGCTTGGATACTATATGGGCTCCATATCACGACCAGTTCAATTTATACGAGCGAATGGTTAACACCTATCGATTCTGCATCTAGAATTTCATGTATCACTAATACCCAATCCTCAGTCCCAATCGCGAGAGAAAGAGAACCCATGTCTGTTCACAGACGTATGCACCAACCCAGTGAGCGCATTATTTAAAATACGATTATATCTCCCAGGAGCCGGTTATCATCCACATTTGCAGTGGAGCACCGCTGGTCGACGGTAGTTCCATCTGTGATAATTACGTGGCTGGGGTTTCAACAAAGTATGTAACAATCCTCGGTAAGGTATCCCAATCGCAGTAGTGAATCTCAAAAACAATAGCGTGAAGACAGGGGCTTCCAAGGATGCAGCTTGGGTACTGAGTAAGGAAATGACTTGTCGACGTGCCTCCCTGTACTTTTCTTGATTTGTCCAGCTTCACACACCATACGGCTAAAAAAGCTGCGACAATCGGGTACGGCAGTCGCCAAGGCGCTGGCCTTGAGATGAGTAGATGAGCCCCAAGTCCGCTTCCAATAAATTGCACCAGACCCAATCGGGAAGGGAAGTTCGTAGTGCAGAGGAGACCAGGTGTGGAGGCAGTGTGACCTGCGCAATGAAAATGTAGAAGTCTTAGAGTATGCTGTATCAAACCGAACTCTTCACCATCAGCTTCCTATTCCCCCGACTTTGCTCAATTTCATTTGCCTATTCTCTTTTCCTGATCCTCAGGAATTCTTTCTGCTTTCTAATCCCCCCGCCCATCTTTGATCTTTGTGGTCCGCAAAGTGAAGCTGTCCATGTGGTTACTATTGCCACTGCCCTCTCCTTAGCGACGGAATCTCTCTCCTCAATTACCAGAAGGAGCGGACAAGTTACTACCTACCCTCAGTTCTAGTGATATGGAAAGTGCGCGCCCACAGCTCTCTGTCCGAAGGGCCCGCGATCCTCCCAAGAACGGCGAAGGCCAAATTTTTTGCGACCATACCGACTGTCAGGCTTCGCCGCCTACTTTCCGCCGTCCTTGTGAATGGAAGTAAGTCAATTCAACCTCATTTCTAGGCGACTGCCGCAGGCTCTTCTCCATACCAATTCTTCATTACCAGCAAACACATGGATAAACACGATCGGCCTTATAAGTGCTACGAACCTGGTTGCGACAAGATTCAGGGCTTTACCTACTCTGGTGGCCTCTTACGCCACCAGCGTGAGGTCCACAAGAAGAACGACACCAAGCCCTTGATGTGTCCATATGCCGATTGCAACCGCAGCACCGGCAACGGATTCACGCGCCAGGAAAATCTTCGAGAGCACTTGCGCCGTCGCCACATGCACACGGAGGTGGTTCTAACAGCCTCCCCTCCTGTGGACGCTAGTCTCAAGCGCAAACACGATTCACCCAACGGCGAGCTTCCGGATTCCCAAGAGAGTGGCGGCGGTCTCCACAACGAAGTCAAGCGACTGCGTCGCGAGTCCCAGGAGAAGGATCACCGCCTGGAGCAGCTAGAGCGCATCATTACCCATCTCCAGCAAGCCATCAGTCAGCCGCTCGTGCGCAAAGACGATCCTCAGCTTACCCAGGCGAGGCACACTTCTGCGCCCTAGGTTACCACTCCTCGTTTTAGGTGCCAACTACTCTCTACCTTACTGGTAATGAATATGGGATGACTGTTCTTCTCCTGTGGTGTTTGTTCTTGAATTTCTGTGGCGTTCCTTCTCTGAATTATAATCTTCAACATTATGAGACCCCAAACAGAGACAATAATCCAAGGTATATCAATTTTTTTAAGTCAACATAATTTCTATATTTCAATCATCATTCTGGTGGGCTGTATGAACATCTTTGATCTATCAGTAGCGCTGGGAATGGCAATTTGGAGCATATCTCTGTGTCGTGCTAATTGTTCAATCAAGTTAGTGGTTTGTGATGGTGAGGACGACCATTTCCAGTTGCCTTCCTGGATGTGGCTGTGAGAAGACTGACGGAAAAATGGAGCAATTTTGGTCTAGCAGAATTATGCCCTATCATCCTGGTGGACTGGATGGAGAGCATCCTGGGCCGATTCCTGTGTAGTGCTGGTTGTCCAAACATATTGTAGGGGCCACATCGACTTGCAAGCTATAGTTCGGTGCACAATAACTCCATGATTGCTAAGTTGCATCGCAAGGAACATATATCATTGGTAGGTTGATACGCTTGGATGGACCGACCTACATGAGGCTTGTGGATGATCGCAGACAGAGAGTGGACAAGCTCTCCCAAGAAGACCGGAATAAGTCACGTAACTCGACGGACAACGACTTACAATTACAATCGTGACAATAATGATATGCGCAGGAACCGAGCCGTCCAAACCAGGGCCATAGTCCCCTTCTTGATTCGCGGAAATAGCTCGTTCGGTGTATGCGGGTCATATCCTCTATGAGTTCCAAGCCTAATCTCTCCAGTCTCTCCAGTCTCTCCAGTCTCTCCAGTCTCTCCAGTCTCTCCAGTCTCTCCAGTCTCTCCCAGTCTCTCCAGTCTCTCCCAATCTCTCCAGTCTCTCCCAATCTCTCCAGTCTCTCCCAATCTCTCCAGTCTCTCCAATCTCTCCAGTCTCTCCAGTCTCTCCCAATCTCTCCAGTCTCTCCCAATCTCTCCAGTCTCTCCAGTCTCTCCAATCTCTCCAGTCTCTCCAGTCTCTCCCAGTCTCTCCCGTCTCTCCAGTCTCTCCAATCTCTCCAGTCTCTCCAGTCTCTCCCAATCTCTCCAGTCTCTCCAGTCTCTCCAATCTCTCCAGTCTCTCCAGTCTCTCCCAATCTCTCCAGTCTCTCCCAATCTCTCCAGTCTCTCCCAATCTCTCCAGTCTCTCCAGTCTCTCCAATCTCTCCAGTCTCTCCAGTCTCTCCCAGTCTCTCCCGTCTCTCCAGTCTCTCCAATCTCTCCAGTCTCTCCAGTCTCTCCCAATCTCTCCAGTCTCTCCAGTCTCTCCAATCTCTCCAGTCTCTCCCAGTCTCTCTCCAGTCTCTCCCAGTCTCTCCAATCTCTCCCGTCTCTCCAGTCTCTCCCAGTCTCTCCAGTCTCTCCCAATCTCTCCCAATCTCCAATCTCTCCCAGTCTCTCCAGTCTCTCCCAGTCTCTCTCCAGTCTCTCCAGTCTCTCCCAGTCTCTCCAGTCTCTCCCAATCTCTCCAGTCTCTCCCAATCTCTCCCAGTCTCTCCAGTCTCTCCCAATCTCTCCCAGTCTCTCTAGCGCCGGCGCGCCAGTATCAAGGTTGACGTGGTCAAATTTTATTCGATGATTTCTGCTACGCTTAATTTCCAGGAGGCCTCTTGATGTCGTATAAGCGTGTCCAAAAGTCCCTAGCCCTTGACAATGCGGCTGACCTCGCATATTTAATTCGAGCGCAATCCTGCAATCGCAAAATGGTTCGTCCATCTCTTCGGCCTTGTTGGTTTCACTTCCTTAACTGCGCAAATTATACCGGCAAGTTTATTCTCTTGTATGTCCTCCTTTGAAGAGGTACGCGGTGGTCATTGAGTACTGACGGAATCTTACAGACACGCATAGCCAATCAATTTCCTGCGCAAGTTGTCTGGCTAGCTGGGCTGCAAATATAAAAGACCTGTGCTGGTTTACGAAACGTCCTAGGTTATCCTTTCCCTCTGCTTATTCTGCCTGCAATAGAGACTGACATAGGAGTTAGGCTTGCACGATGCCAAATAAATATGATGTCTGCACACAGGAGCGAGTGCGATACTCCTGTATTCATGAGAAAGATGGTGAATTCATTAAGTGTGCTAAACATGCGGGGAAGGATGAGCGATGCTCAAGTTTGTCGATCCAGTATGTAGTAGTTAAGACTTCGACCCACAGTTGCAGAGTTTGTTCAAGAAGTGAGGGTTGAATTAAATTTGACGATTCGTATGTGTGGATATCTGATACCTAACTTGTTAATACTGCCGCAGGCATCCATCATGTACTGGAATTAAGATCGTCTCTCGTTCCCTTACCCTCTCTACTTAACTTTTTATGCTAATTCGCTTCGTGTAATACTACTGTCGTGGTTGAGATCTGTGTCTTCGTACCTCAGCGTAAAATTGAGACAGATAGCAAAGAGAGTTTCAGCGTTTTCCAATCTCTGAACCATCGTTGAACTTCCCCTCTAGGTCCATAATTTCTTCCCTTGATTCCTTTACTCCCACAGATTCCTTAACAACTGCGACTTCGAAGTCAAAAACAATCGCGCCACGACCCGTCATGAGAAAATTGTACCTGTTGAGGTCGCGATGCAGGACACCGTAGTCATGGAGAAGTAGGGCGGTCTTTTGACAATCCTCAAGATCTTCTGGGTCAGGAGTATTTCCCGAGACATCTTCCATCAAGAAACCAATTGTTCGATCCGTCGTTCCTTCATAAGCGTATCCAATCACTGTGGGAGCAAGTGGAAAACCACGGGACGCCAATGAAGCGTATGTTGATACCTCCCGCTGTAGGGCTGGGATCTCATGTTGAAACCTGGCGATTTTCAGAATCGACGTGTTGTTCCCCTGCACCACTCTAGAGACGCGATCGCTAATGCGACAGAGAGGCACGAGATCCAAGATATTGAAGTACGTTGCGTGTTTGCCACAAATGGCTGCAGCATTTAAGGAATGTGGTGGAAATTCGTCGACAGTGCTTTCAATCGAACCATTCGTGGTTTTCCGGACCGTGAGAGTTGTCCAATCTCCATTCCAATTTGGAACTGCTCTCAGGTTTGAGAGAATTCGGAAACCATCTGTGCGTTGCCCTGAGGGAATTATGTCCCCGTGCAATACTGACACGTACACAATTCGAGATTCTCTTCGAATTCGGTATAAAAAGTCATTTTCTTCTAGATCGAGCGAGAGAACTTCCTCTTTTTCACGCATTGTGAGAGTTCGAAGGGCCGTGAAGTTCGGGGACGTGGACTCATTCGAAGGTTATGGGTTGGAATGTGTAGAACGCACGTGACATTAGTCATCGTCATGGTTCTGAGAAAAAGTTGTCGAGCGGAAACAACACTGCGTTCCTATTGGGTGGTTTTCATCTATTATCCAGCTGACGACATCGTAAGAGCGCTAACCCGAATGGAAAGGAAGAATCCCAACAAATATCATTTTCCGCAAAAGCAAGTTCTTAGTCACCGAGCAATAACCTCATTGGTTAACTAACCTAACTAGTCAGTTAGTTGGTCAAATATTCGATTAAATGACTAGTTAGTTGCATTCCCTTAATTCCAAGCTCGGCTTAATTTTTATCTCCGCTCCGACCACATCCCAATCACGAGTCTCTCCAGTCTCTCCAATCTCTCCCAGTCTCTCCAATCTCTCCTGATCTCTCCCAGTCTCTCCAGTCTCTCCCAATCTCTCCCAGTCTCTCCAGTCTCTCCCAATCCCTCTCAATCACGAGTCTCTCCAGTCTCTCCAATCTCTCCAGTCTCTCCAATCTCTCCAGTCTCTCCAATCTCTCCAGTCTCTCCAATCTCTCCAGTCTCTCCAATCTCTCCAGTCTCTCCACAGTCTCTCCAATCTCTCCAGTCTCTCCAATCTCTCCAGTCTCTCCAATCTCTCCTAATTTCTCCCAGTCTCCCCAGTCTCTCCCAATCTCTCCCAGTCTCTCCCGTCTCCCCCGTCTCTCGCCGTCTCCCCCAGTCTCTCCAGTCTCTCCAGTCCCTCCAGTCTCTCCAGTCCCTCCTAGTCCCCTCGATTTTTATGGACTCGCGCGAAGAGTAGTACGCAATGTCACAAACGGCAGATATCGCTCGTGTCTACGCTATGAGGGAAAAGATAAAGAGAGAAAAGACCATTCCGGAGGAGTATCTCGTCATACTCATAGAACGCTTACCTCTGTCATTCGGGCAATATCCTCACCAAGACGCCCCCAAGTCAGGTCGGCGATCGGCTGCATATCAATTACGATGGAGACTGAAGAAGGCTGGAATTGTTTACCGGAGGGTCCGTCGTACCGATCCGCACATATTTCTGCCTTTTTTGCTGTCTATAACACCGCGCGGTTGCGAATCTTTCGACGACGAGCGGTTCGAGCAGAATCACCAAGATCGATACAACCTTCATCTCAGCAATGATTGTCTAACGCTTCTTCAAGCCCAGGGTAGGAATTTGAAGATCGAAGACAACAGAGACTTTCAGGATTTTATAAAGCATCTATTCGAGCTAGGTCTGGAAACTCCGTACACGTGTCACGGCTTTTAGCTAACTCTCGCGTAGACTCACTTTACAGGTCACCACCACTGACTGATGCGGAGAAAGAGGATCATTGTACATACCACTTGGCTCACGTTCAGTCTATCAGAAATGTGTTTGGTGACTATATTCAACGAGCTGTCGCGAGTTCTCTGGTATCTTTCAACGAGGACCTTTCTTGTCAAGCGGTCGAACGAAGGGACAGCTTCTGGATGAAGTTCCCTAGCCAGACGATGCAAGATGCGATATTCAGCCTGGATATTGGGTCTACGAAAGAACTTGCTGCTATTTTATTTCCCCATATCAACCCCAAGATCGCCTCATTTCTCTGGCCTCAAACATGTGACGTTATTTCAACGCAAACTCTGGATTACAACGGGGTATCGCACTACGACGTTCGCCCTGATCAATCAAGGCAAGATCGTGAGTATCATCCGATACCTTCGGAAATGTATCATTGACCATGTTACCTTTAGTGGACAACGCATACTGCACTCTACGAGGAGCCTCCATGTCGGCCGTCAAATCAATATTTAGCCCCTATTTACATGCTGCCATTGAATCCAGTGACCTCAGGCGTTGGGAAGTGGATCTATCCATTTTAGAAACGACTGATTGCGTGACACTGAATGTCTGGAGGAGCCGCCCTTTTTTCGGGTTTATTCGTCTGCGTATTGGGTATATTTTCGGTACCTCTTTCCTGAATGATTTTAACGCTTCAAATGCTATTGAATCATGATTTCACATAACTCTGTATGTCCCCTTTTCAATGACGACTTTCACGTTGCGAGGAAGAAGTATATCCCCACTTCCACTTGTCCACCATATTAATTCGCCGTCCTTTGTTCGAAAGGAAATTTTCTCGCATTGGAAGCAAATCAACTTCCTCTCGACGTGTTGATGTGAGATGATATCCGCCACGTGCCAAATGTATCCGTCCAATTCTGGGGGCTTCGTATCCTCGTCCTTTTGTTTGTTCCATCGATCGCTCTATGACATATTAGCGTCAAACCATGCTATAGAGGTTGAGGTTGCAATGCGTACTATGACAAGCTCCAGTTCTTCTTTGGATTCCCCCTCCATGTCCGATCTATGATGGCCTGATCAAGATCTCGGCAACTGGCGATAACGCTAGGTAGGGAAAAAGAATCGCTGCAAGGTTGAGTTAGACGCGATCAAAGGGTAGTAGTCAGGAGTGAGCTGTCATGAGAAGCCTGACTCAACTTGACTGATTTAATAGGCGTTCGCCTTTCGACCTCCGAGAAATTGAAGAATGAATGAGGGGTTGGGCGCGAGAAAATCTTACCCGAACCCACCTCCGTCTGACCTAATCAATAGCTGGTTCCATGGAACCACCGAAGTTAAGGCACGTGATTCAAGTGGGGCATGCAGGTGTCAGGAATCAAGTCCAGAGTACAGTGGCGTTCCAAGAGTATTTGCACCCAAAGAGACCCGTTCTTCACCGCCTACCACATTTGTATGCTACAAAACGTTTAGCCCAATAACATGATCCTGGCCACAGCCGAGCTGGCCACCCCGAAACACCATACTAAATGCGAAATGCAAAATCGCGAAAGGCAAGTAACTACACCCTTTTCCGTCGACTAACTCACCTTGTTCGAGCTTCTGCACCGGGCGAAATGCCTGCGAGGCGCAATGAGCGCGAGGGTAACGTCCAACAATGCGTCTTTCCGCTCCACGCCAGACCGCTCGCCCGACCCGCCCACCACAAGATCCGGACTGGTTCACCAGACACCAGTGTCCACGATGGGTGTAGACGTTGACATTAACGGCGGAGAGTACGGTTAATTGGCCACCGTGCTCTGCAGATCAAGCCTCTCTGTTACTTGATCCGGCTGTTAAACTTACAGATTTGGGCGGGTCAGTCGCTGGCATGGAGCCTGGAAGCAGCCTCGCTCGCACAAGCCTAGCTAATGCAGCATCTGCAACATACCGGTCAGTGTGTCTGCCCTTTTTGGACCTGTCAATCATAATCAAGATAAGAGAAGAGGAGATTGGGCAAATACGCCGAGCCGAGCTCAGTTGGAATACCATCGTAGCGGCTGTCTTTCACAATTTCTGAAATCACTTATTCACCCCCTTTCAAAGTCAAGCAATCCATTGGGTAAAAAATCCCTGTATGGTGCCACAGCAAGGCAGCATCCTTTTACATACTACGAGTTTTAAACCTGGAATCTCTAGTACCTTGGTCACGGATGCCCATGAAGGTTTCATAAGTTGTATGAGATGGACTCCTGGGATAGTCAAAGCCATACACACCGATAATATTGGGGGACAGTCATCAAAAGGCGCCGAGGCCTTGGAGATTGATGCAAGCGGACAAATTATTTCTGATACGCAGATTCGGTGCATCATCGCTACAGGTGGCGTGGACATGAAGTTGAAAACATTTGCTGGCTAGTGAGGAATTTTGTGTTACCAAAGACGTGATTTTGATCCATTCGCTAGGGAACTTGAACATGTCTATGCTGTCGTTCCCCATGAAAGTGGATTGAACTCGGTCGCTGCAAACGCAATCCAATCGTCCTGTTCGTAAACTCTTTTGCGTGCCCCGAGGGTGCAATAAACGACCTCCCGGGATCGTGGGGCAGCCGTGGGTTTGATAACCCCTTCCACTCCTTTCCTTCGTGTCAGCGCAGACGAAACCAACGAACAACCTAACCAACCGTTGTAACAGTAGCTGTGGATGATGATAATCCGGTCGTCAAGTTTGTGTGCCTTGCTACTAGAACATCCTCCGCACCATTTGTAATCGTCTTCGTTCCTTGTTTCTATGATACATATATAACAGGTTTGGCCAGACTTCGGGGGCCGTCGTATGGATATAGTTGCTCTGCGTCATGTTCGAGATTAAGGTATAGCTGCTATGGAAAACCAGTCGGAATATATCACTTACACCCACTGCCGGCAGCCTGAGCCTCCTCCAGACAACTCACATCTCTCGCGTTGACGGCTGGAGATATACGAAACGGAAATATTCACCACAGCCGGAAAATAAGACTCTGGGCATCGATTCGTATGTGGCTGCCTTTCAAAATGAGGAAGTTTTGCACTCTGGTAGTTTAGAAAATGAGCATACAAGTAGTTCAACGGGAATTGGTACAGTACTAGGGATACTCACATGTTAATTTTATCAAAATCTTAATGAATGGTGATCGCGTTCGGGATGATGAAGATGAAGGATTAAATTGCCTTGCGTTTTGTATTCTGCTCTTCAGAAAGACCCGCGGATTACCTTTGGCTCCTGGAACTACATCCGATGCGTAAGATTAGTAGATAGATAATTGAAAAGGACAGATCATTTAAACCTCTTTACTCCCACATAGCCAACAGGCAAGCAGTTGCTCAGGTCCATACCGCAAGCAGTCACTGACATGAACCAGTCGCGCTAGCTTGGTGGCGATGCAATGCGTATTGGAAAACGATGTGCGTTTGTGTCATAAGAAAGGTAGATGATATAGGAGTGGCTAGATAACGATTTCTTGCAATTCACTGGATAGACAGGGACCGCCCCATCAGGGATTGTGACAGTCCATATAAAAATCGAAGCGGATTGAAAATCCGCTTTCGATTTTTATACTCGCGGTTTATTTTGTACATGCAGCTTTTTTCATGTTGGTCGCTGATACGATTATCGAGAATTGGTGGCGCGAACGAACAAATATAATACGTTCCCAGGTATTGAAGTCAACGCGCGAGATCACCTGTTACTAACAATCCGTACAGATATTTTCTATCGGTTACATTTCCTTTTATGCGATTGTACTATTGGGATGGCTCTGGAAAGACACATCGATGAATATCATTCAATCTATTTGCCGGTTTTGGACTGTTTTGTTCAAGTTCACTAGGTCAAGAGCTCTCTCATTAACATATTTCTCGTTCTCGAACAAAAAACACGTTTCGGCCGTCGAAAGCACCAACAGCACCCAAATGTGGAGCCTGAGCGAATTTAGTGCAGAAGTCGGGAGGGCTTTCAGTGGCTTTTGCATTGTTACAGTGCTAGCTCTTTGTTTTCTCTACGTTGGCAAGCGTACCTGGAGAATGCAAAATCGACTCTCAGATAACCCAGCGGTTGGCTCCCATTGGGCAACGGTGGCTTCCACTACTTGCATCTCAGAAGAGCACCCGGCAAACACTGCAGCTGAGGGAGTCGGAAGAGCTGAGGTTCCAGGGTCGGAATATCTCAAAGGTTACACTGGGCTTCCATTTCTCTCCAGAGCCTGGAAGTATGTCCTGGGCTACAAAATCTTTTTCCCGTACGTGGCCATCCGGTTCGCGTTACCTACAAGTCGTGACAATGGTGTGCTTCTGCCTTACACGCTGTCAGCGAGCCATCAACGCTCTCCTACCATATCTGACAGCTATCATGATAGAAACGCTTTTTCCTTCTTCCGAGCTCCCATGGTTTCACCTCTTGAAATACTTCATCTATAAGTGGCTACAAGGAGGTGAAGGTTTGCTTGGTTCTCTGCAATCCCTTCTCTGGAGTGAAGTCAGCGAAAATTCTTCCATGAAGCTCTCGATAGCTGCTTTTGAGCATGTTCACAGCCTAGCCTTGGACTTCCATCTGGGCAAGGGCAACGGCGAGATACTATCCGTCCTAAAAAACGGCAGCTCGGTCATCAATCTCATGCAATTAGTGATGCTTCGACTTCTTCCCGCAGTGTGTGACTTGATTATTGCAATGAGGACTTTGGTTCTATCTTGACCCATACTCTGCTTTGCTTTTGCTTTTGTTGGCCTTGGGTTTCCTTCAATTGACAACGTTCCTGGTGCCCCGGAAAGCTAAGTTCCACTACCAAATGATTGAAGCTTCTACAGAAGAGAACGCGATGAAGTGAGTATCGATTTTAAAAATTACATGAGTAATTGATGCTCACTTGGCTTTTTTAGAACCGAGTCTTTGATGTCATATGAAACAGTCAAATACTTCAACGCTGAAAAGTTTGAGTTCAAACGCTACTGTATGAGGGTCCAGGAGGTTCGAAATGCCAACTATAGAAATGCTCGCTTCGCGGGTTTGATGAACACCTGCCAGAATACATTCATGATGGCCGGGTTTATGGCAGTATCCCATACTCGCGCGTCGTATATCTAGCGGTGATCATTCAGCAGGGAAGTTCATCTATTTATCGACATATATGTCCCAGCTACAGAGCACCCTGAAATCCTTGACTGCTGTCTCTCGATCCCTTCAGGCAGCGCTAATTCACTCGGAAAGTACGATGAACCTTTTTGAAAAAGAGCGCCCGTGGTGGACAGCCCCACCGCGCGTCCGCTGGTCCTATGCCGCGGCGATATCACCTTCAAGAATGTGACTTTCTCATATGATGAGCGAAGACTCGCATTGAATCGGCTTTTATTGAACTGTCGAGCTGGAACAACAACAGCCTTTGTTGGTGAGTCTGGTGGAGGAAAGTCAACGATATCCCGGCTTCTATTTCGATTCTACCAACCAAAAAAAAGGCTGTATTACTGTCGATGGACACGACGTGCGGAATATTACTATCGATTCGCTACGCAAGCATATCGGAGTGGTAGCTCAACATCCCGTGCTCTTCAACAACTCGTTAATGTATAACTTGAAATACGCCAACCAAAACGCCACCGACGAACAAGTGTATGACGCCTGTCGTGCCGCCAGTGTACATGGTACAATTATGAGTTTTCCGGAAGGCTATAGCACAAAGGTTGGCGACCGTGGCCTCCGTCTGAGTGGTGAGAAGCAACGTGTGGCGATTGCTGGTGTCATTCTCAAGGACCCCAAGATCATTTTGTTAGATGAAGCCACGGCCTATCTTGACACAAATACCGAGGAGAATATACAACGTTCCCTCGAAGTTCTCTAGCAGGGCCGGACCATACTCATGATTGCTCATCGGCTTAGCACAGTTACAGGGGCAGATTGTATCCACGTCTTGCACGAAGGTCGAATTGTTGAGAGCGGAACCCATGAGGAACTTGTTACTCGCAAAGGACGCTATGCCGAAATGTGGACGAAGCAGACTGGCCAGAGATTTTGATACGAAGTGCTATAAATCACGTTCACTCTTGGAGAGGATATTACATTCGACTCATGACTAAACTCTGTGAATGATAATCATGTACCTTTGATTCGGACTGATTTGACTCATAGTCTCGCTGTTCTGTCGTTGCTGTTTTCTGCAGCAACATTGATGTTGTGATGTTCGAATAGTTCGCATGCAATAGAGCTCTTCCCACGTGGCAGCACATAGAGCTTTCAGGTCTTGGTGATTGACTTCGAGCCGTTAAGAAGTACGCTTGAAATCTCTTGGTTTGGTTATTGACAGCGTGGAATATTGCAGTGCGTGAATTATGATCTTAAGTATTGATTCTGCGTCATGTCGATCCAGAATTGTCTTAATATTCGAGTGGAACTCTTACAGTGAAGAACATTTTCTCCGGATAGTATAAGAGAGACAAAAATTTAGATTTAAAGTAGCTGTTGGCACGAGACAAGGCAAGTTTGTGTGATGGCCGTAAGCTTTTGCCAATTCCTGACAGAAATTCTAGGGGGATGCTGAGAAGAGGCATCTGGAATAAAGATAAATTTTGAACCGATCAAATTCGGAGATATCTACAGTGAGTACGCATAAGTTTTTAGACCCTCCGCCCCACACCCCCTATGTTACATCATATACTGCTGGTCGCAAAACCTCCGCCAAACTCCATACACCACCCAATAGGCCTAGTAAGGCGTATACCATCGTTTGGATACAAAAATTGCTTGCACCCTATTAGGCATAGCCTCAGAAAAGTGTTCTAGGTGCTTCATATCTATATTATGCCAATCAATCTGCGCAGTTTCTACCACGATTCGCTGGGTCTTATTGTTGTTCTTCGTATGCATAAGATCTTACTACACGTATCTAGAAGGCGGATCTAGTAGGCGGTAGGAATTAGTATGGGCGGTCAGAAAAGGGGGTCCAAAAACTTATGCGTACTCACTGTAGGAGTTGGATGCGGTTCCTGGAATAAATTAAGTCTAGAATGATTGAAGAAGTTAGTCATCATAAATCTATAACATGGTAGAGCCTGGCATAATAATGACCGATTATATTTGCACCTTAAAGCAGAGATTTCCAGGAATGGGGAAATTTGGCCTGGATCAGAATCCGTTTGCCACAGGTTTGGCTCAAATGACCACCTACAGAACTATATGGTATTCTAAGATCCTGGTTACCGGCATACTCGCTCCCAGTACTACAAGGACCGTCCCCAGGAACACTAACAGGCACTCCCCGCAGCGATTCGACTCCTGGAGTTCAGAGCCATGGCTCCTAGGGAGTGATGTCTCGCTCCCAGGAGTTGAATTTGACTCCTAGAAAGCCAGCCGATTATTGTGCATCTCTTCTTGAAGGCATAAGAATGTTACAAGTGGCTTGGACAGAAGCTGCTCCAAACTGCTTGACTTCATCGTCCAAGGTTGTGAGCTAAGAAACTGAGGTTAATTTAGTAACTTACAAATTTGCATTCAGGCATATGCCCATAGAGAATAAAGAAAGTGGGCTTCTTGGTCGCTGTCCTACATCAAATGCTCGTTCAGTCCAGCCCGATTCAAAATCATCGCCAGCAATACCTGCCTTGATCTCGCCATGAGAAAAGCTAATAAATCCAAAATGGAAAACGATCGACGAGAACAAATAACGGTGGTAGCATAAACAGATAGTGGTAAACGGGTAGCGATAAACGGGTAGCGATAAACAGGTAGCCATAAACGGGTAGCCATAAACGGGTAGCCATAAACGGGTAGCCATAAACGGGTAGCCATAAACGGGTAGCCATAAACGGGTAGCCATAAACGGGTAGCCATAAACGGGTAGCCATAAACGGGTAGCCATAAACGGGTAGCCATAAACGGGTAGCATAAACAGCGATAAACAGCGAGCGGCCTTTAACAACAAAGCGATTAGCAACAGACAGTCAACGAGGACGAACGTAATGAATGCGAAAGTGTAAGGCACAACAAACAGGTATGAAGGGCTAGCATCACAACATCTACTGAGGAAATCTGGAACCCACCATCTCGCAGGAGGTCCCGAGATGTCATTATCTGTCTCATCATTGCATTGAACGTTTGCCAATCCATGTTCTATAACAGATGGAGAACTCTTAGAAGTTTCATGGCGGCTGTAGCTGCACGCTCAGTTTGGAGGAAGAAACATTAGCGTCCTAAGTGTTTGGTAAATTTTCCATGCAAATGCAAAGGCAGCATTATTTCAAATGATTCTAACGTTCAAGGTTACTTGGTTGAAAGTCAGTGTGTCAAAGTTAGCCAGCATAGCTTATTGAAGTGTAGTACTGTTCCGTGATGCTTCGGCCCAGGTCCTCCGTTATTTACGCGTATAATTTACTCATCACGCCTGCCGTTTGCATGTTTACCGCGTTTAATAAACGTTCGTCCGGCTGGTGATTTTGCCACGGTTGCTCCTGGAGTTTGATGCGGGCATGGTGACCAGGAGGGCTGTTACAATACAAAACAGTTCCCAAACATGCTGTTACATACGCCGAGTACGCCTTGCAGAGCAACTTGTGGCGGTGCAGATGGTATTGTACTGTTAGACAGTGGTAACTCCGGGTACCAAGTGACCACTCCAGCCAATCATGCGGTCGGTGTTCACGAGGATTCGAATGGTAACGTCTTGCAAGCCACAATATGTGCAATACACATCCAAGTCATACGTAGGAAGCCTCTATAACTCCACTCGTCCTCTTGAAGAAATGGGCAACTTCCAAGCTACTGGTAAATTCTTAGAGCCAAAGACAATGATCTAGTGCTTGCTGAAAGGATTAGCGATAGCTCATTTCCGTAAAAGTAGCATCAAAAATCTCCGCAAGACTGCTCCTACCCTTGGAAATTTTGATGATCAAATTCTTGGTAATCTCCTTACTCTCACTCCAACTACTTTGCTCATATACGGCTTACTAGGGGCTTCACGTTCGGCCAACGATGATTGTACGATCTAGCTCTATCATATTTCGCATGAAGGATGAATCGTAAAAGCGCTCCAAGTAAGCGAAGATAGCAAGAATATTTTACAACCCAGCTTTGACGCGTTGTTCTTCAGTGAAGTAACGTATCGAGTGAACCCTTTCTGCGTGGCTTTTGAAGGCCGCATGGCCACGAAAAGCAAGACCACAAAACTTATCGGGGCAAGAAATAAACTCCTCTCTTTTTAAATTCCTAAGGTGCTTTTCGAAATGCTCCCTCGCTTTCCGTGCTGTTGCAAAGTAGCATTGATATGTCGGCTCAAACGCACAGAAGAGGCAGTGCCGGTTCGTGAGAGAAATTGGACGGTTCCTTGACTCTGGAGAGGGAGATAAGGCTTCCTCTGTTTTAGGTGGGTCGCTTGGCGAAGGCTTTTGGCTCTGAGTATGAAGTTCGTTGTCTGACGGTCTGCTCGGAAGGAAATTTTCGGACGGTACCCGTTCGACTCTACCGAGGTCGATGAGTGCATTGATTAGAGCTGTTCGTCGAAGAATGTCATCCTCTTCAGCAAGCTCCCGTAACGGTGCTTGCATCAACTCTGCCACTTGGCGGCGCTCCTTGAGCCGGTGTACGATCTGCTCCGGCTCGTATATATCCTGTTTGATGTCCAAAAGCGAAGGATCAAGTTGTTTGTTGATTTCCAAAGTATCAATGGTCGCGAAAAATTCACTGCGAGCACCATTGAATGTTCTTGTTTTCAAGGCCTTTTTCGCTGCTCTCAATGCTGCATCTGCCCTTGATTTGAGCTCTCCGATTTTGGTACCACGCGCATTCTTCATGGAACCGTAAAGCTCTTTGGCTTCTAGTGCAAGAGTATGACGCATTTGCTCCAAGCTTACTATCTCTGAGTGATTTGCTAGCGTAGCCCTCTTACTTTCTGGCAGGTCATCATATGTTGATGGTGCACGAGGGTCAATGTAGCGGCTTTGGTGACTCAATATGTTCATTAATGCATCTTCTGAAGGGATACCGAGGAATGATGCTTGAACATGGGTCTGAACTCGTTCGTTCATATATTTCTGGAATGTGCTGGCATACACATGGCCCATCACTTGCTGCAACAACGGAAGGGATGCCGTCTCTGATCATATTGTCAGTGCTGAGGTCGTGACGACTAATGCATGAGTACTCACTGTCAACTGCTTCACCGGCTCCACGGCGAAGGTCATATGGCTTCATTGCCCGAACCATCCCAACTGCCAAGCTCAGCCGCTGTAAGTAATACAAATACGTATGGTACATGAGGGGTTTCATTGGGTGAGTGGTCATTTCAGAGCAGGTAGAGATAGGTTGGCGACAAATTGGCACATTGAGTCTGTCTTTTTTGAAGTTTAGTATGAGAGAGCGACGGGGTGGACATACTCGCGCCCTGAATATATCCTCGACAGAATGAATATCTGCCGCGAAAGCGTCATCAAGAATTGCCATTGCAAGCACAAGAACAATGATGTCGAAGGTAGGTTGTTTAACTTCGGACATAAGAAAAATCTTCCTCTAGGGGCGTTAGCTTGGAGAATAGGTGGGGAACCTCGCCGACCGACCTTTTTGGTTTGCTGTGATGGCCCTTGGTATGCTTCAAATCAATCTCCATCACAAGATGGTCACGAATGCCTCCGGGGTTTGGAAGCAGAATCAAGCTGATCTGGCCGTAACAGAGGGTTTTCAAGTCATCTTCTCTGAGGTCCCATTCTTCTTCGATTTCTTCATTGTCATCTTCACGGCCGAAAAAGTGCTTCAGATTAGTTCGCTCGTTTTGTTCAACATAAACCAACGCGCCCGGTCGACTGCCAGTATAAGCAGACACCAGCAAGAGAAAGGCAAGTTGGATTAACTGTCGACCATCTGGATAGGGTGTGGTGTCTCTTGTCCAATGATGATGAAGAACAATATACAGATCATCGACGTTCATGACAGGTTTTTCCCCAACGGTCATGTCGAGATTGTATCGTGCGGTAAGATTTTCTTTCATGTACTACATTCAATAGTCAATAAACAGAATATCTAAAAGGCAAAGTAAAACTTACATCATTGATATCTTGGGAGCACTTCGCATGGAGACTTCGTCCAACTGCTTTCCGGTAAAGCTGACACCATTGCCTCCAATACTCGTGTAAACTGCTGAATTTCTTGACTTTAAAATTGTCTAGTATCCACTCGAGGAACAGCATAACATCTTCTTTCCGAGCTGCAACAAGGAACCGGAGAGGATCTTCCCCTAAATGTTTGCAAAACCTGTTCTAATCAGCCTTGCTTCGATCTCAATCGTCAATATGAGTATTACTTCATCCACCGTCCCTTGATTTGATCGATGTTGTTCTTAGTGGAAACGGCATGTCGCTTTTGTATGATGCCTTTCTCGAGTTGACGACGGCGTCGGCGATAATAATCGGCACTATGGGATAAATTTTTGCTTTTCAAGGATAAATCAGGAATAAACATGGCCTCAAATAGCAATCTTTTCAAGCGGAGGAGAACAGCAGAGCAAGAGAGGGGATAATTGATGTCAAGAAAGGGGAAAGAACAAGAAAGGAAGCGGAAAAGACTGAAGGCCAGAGAGAGTCTGGGTTGTAAAAGAGACAATAAAGTAGAGGAGGAGTGCACTGAACAGGAGCTACAGTTGATGGGGAGCAGCCTCTTTAAGTATTGAAAGAGAGGACTTGAGTATGGTCTAGCGCCAAATAGATAGACCTTATCTATTTTCGTAATTGACGGCTACAATCGGATAATATACGCAGACAGGCATGACGACATCCTTGAGTGACTACCCTGAGCATCCTGAGCGAAGGGTGAGCTGATCCCTGAGTAAATCTGAGCCATCTTGAGTGCTCAGGGAGCAATCCCTGATCACTCAGGGAGCATACGGAAATGGTGGGCAGAAGTAGATCACGTGGGGGATCCGATGACTAATGATCTGGTAAAAAGGACGCTTAAAACAGCGTCAAAAGTAGCCTTTTTCGGCGTCGAATTTACCGTTACCTAGCGTTGTGGTGTAATCTATCTAGTCATGATGGATGAATGATAGATACAACCAACGAGGGGGAAAACACGATTTCTACTAGCTAGATAGTTGAATTTGATGAACTAATCGACATATGTAATGAAAATACTATATAGCCCAATGATCAGATCGTGATATATTTTCCATCCGCTTCATCAAACCTATGATCTTTAGGATGATACACCAACGCAATAGGCTTCACCCAACCAGAAGCTGTTTTGGGGGAAAGTGAGTGACAGTTAGTGGCTAGCATCAAAGGAGAAAAAAAGTCGGGGGCCGGGGGGGATGGGACAATTATCTTACTTTTGGCAGGCATTGTTGAGAGCGGGATTCCATGTGTCTGTCAAGGATGGGTCTGTTAGTTCACTTGAATCGGTTATTCGAATGTGGAGCTGGACTGACAAAGCTGAGAAACGGTAATCCTATTGCGAGAGGCAAATATCTCACATCTATCGCTATCTTTGGCAACATCGTAGGCGTTGCAGGTTGTTAGGATCCCGGATTGAGTGGGTGCTGGAGCAGTCACACTAGATGCAGCTGAAGTCGTTGTGGAACTGGCGGTCACGGCTTTCACGCAATAGGCTTCTTCGAGCCAAAGGCCGCCGCAATCGGCTGGAAATTGAGATGTCAGTAGATGAAGGAAGGCGTTATTACGGATGATCAACTTTACCTCCAACAGCTGGATTCCACGCTTCGAACTAGGACACAGTAATTCCATACGCCGACGCAATAGTCGCGCAGGTATCGTCAGCTTTAACAACATAATATTCCTGGCAGTTGGCGACGATGCCAGATTGCGTCGGTGCCGGAGGAGTGACAGTTCCACTGTCTGTACTTGTGGTCGTTGTGGTACTCGCCGTATCTGCTTAGACATAGTATGCGTCACCCACCCAGAGGCCACCGCAACCCGCTAATAATTTCACGGCAATTAGTGGCTAGTTGCAAAGGAGAGATGATCTGGAAACAAAACATGACTGACCTCCCACAGCTGGGTTCCATGCCTCGAACTGGGACACTGTAATACCATTTGCCGATGCAATAGCCGCGCAGGTATCATTTGTCTGAGCCACATACCAAGCTTGGCAATTGGTAACAATACCAGTTTTGGTTGGTGCAGGTGCACCTGTGGTAGATGTAGAGGTAGTCGTGTTGGTTGTCATGTTATATGAAACACTTTGCCAGCCGGGCCCTATGACACAGTACTTTCGCGTGGTTGTATGAGCTTTGCTCTAGCACAGAAATTGTAGAAGGAAAATATTAGCTTACAGAGGATCCTATCCACAGATTCGAACAGTCCGGACCTAGAACGCATGTTAGGCAGAGCGAGTCGGATTCTCTGGGAATCTAGACTAACCGAGAGTAGGGTTCCTTTAGCTTCTGTAGTTCCAGCGACGGTCGTTAAGATATATCTTTTTCTCGCCGCTAGCGAAGTCCAAGCTTGCATGATTTTTTTTGCATTCCAGCCGATAGTGACTGATCATCCCAAATAATTAACGTAATCCACAGCCATGCGGAACCCCCCGGGGCATCATAATAGAAGTGATTTCTCAGGCTATGGTGGTAGCCTGAAGCTGGTGTATAGTGTCGCATGCGCTGACCCTCACGAGGAAGACAGACCATGCCTATATCTAGCTTATATCTGGAGACCGGCAGAAAAACCTAGGTCTTGAGTCGATGCTTCTCATGGGCATGCCTCCTTAAACCATCTTCATGCTCAATCGATATATTGCAGTACTTACAGTCACGGTCATCTAGATGTGTTTCTCTAAAATGACGCAGAAGATGTTTGTGCCGAGAATAGTGTTTCATTCGACGGTCATCCGATTCTTCTAGGTTTCCAAAACATTGGAAGCATCCTAGTGGTTTGGCGGCGGCCTGGACATGTGCTTCTGCCTTTCGTATAGCATCTTCGCGTGGTAAGGATGGTACGGGGGTTTGTGTGAAGGCTGGTGTATGGGAGCTGTGTGGTGCAAGATCATCACGAGGAATGGGGTTCTTCGGTCGTCGTCCTCTTCGAGGCCCACCTTCTCGCACACGGCAGTACATGCGAACAGCTTCAACTGCCTCATTTCGCCGCTTCCACTCCCGCTCCAAAGACAACGAAGTCGGCCATGTCATCAGCTTTTCTAAGAGAAATATCTGCTCTGGGAGCATGTTTTCCCTAGCTGCCAGGCGCTCCTTGGTTTCATCGTCATGAACCGCGGTTCCAGCAGCAAGCTGTCGTTGAATATCCTTAACTGCTTGGCTGCTATCAAATTCTTCCCTCACACGCTTACGAAGATCGTAAAGGAGCCGACTGCGTGTGTTGGTCACATATCTCTTGAGTTGTTCAAGTCGATCCAGTCCTCTGCAGCTCTTTTTGCCGCTTTGTTTCAGTTTTCGAGCGAACCTATCACGTTTGTGGATCGCCTCTTGCAGCTCCGGCATTGCTTCAACACTTGCTTTCTGGGCATCTGTAAGCTCGCGCGGCCGTCGAGTGTCAACCCATCTCCCCATCCGAGTGACCGCTCTCATCATCGCTGAGTCAGGTTCGAGACCTCTCATCAATGCCTGCATGTCTGTACCGATGCGACGCGGGAGATAATGGTTCAAAAATGTTCGAATACTCGCGTGTTTCATGATTAAGTTTTGTTGTGCATCGCTCACAAGTCCTTTGCCTTCTCAGTCCTCTTTCTCGCCTTCTCACAATAATTGAACGCTGGGTGACTTACTACTCTGATTGAGGATTGTCGCACCACCGTAGCGGTTGCAATGTGTGTAAAGATTCGGAAAGCCAGCAATTTCCCCTGTGGTTTGATACTGCTTACCCAGAGCTGCGGACGAGATTGGCTGATCTCGAATAATCCGAATGACGCCGCGGGTTGCCACAACCTTGCAGAATACATAATGATTTTCCTTCTCAGCTTTCAGTGGCAGTGGTAGCTGCTGCCGGCCATCTTCTAGCCAAAGTTTCCTTAGGTCGTCCCGGGATTTTATTGCAGGGGCACGGAAAGCGTCGTCGTCGAAAAGAATACCAAGCAAAAACTCATGCGGGCTCAACATAAGCGACGGATCATGAATGATCTCGGGGATGATGAAAGTGTTGCTACTTAACGTCAGTGGTCTGCACCTACAGGAAGTAATTTATCCTGTAGAAAGCGTCAATCAACCCATACCCTTGTGTCACACCGAGATGCGTTTTAGCAAACTTGTAGGTAATTTCGAGTAGAATGCGGGGCGGCCCTCCTTTTGGATCTCGTTGGATCGAGCACTGCAGGTGCTTGTATTGGAGCTTTCGCATTGCACTGATTCGATTCACCGTAAAGCAGGCCATAAGATTGTAAAGGCATTGTTGCATTCGTTGAAGTCCAATATGGAACCGCTTTTCCATCGTGCGGAGAACAGTCTCCTGCAAGATAACCACATCCTCAATATACAGCGGTGGCTTCTCTTTTTCGTCGGTGATCAACCCTTTCCTTTTGACTATTTTTCGAATGCTCTTCAGAAATCATTCCGTCAGCAATATATTCATTATTGGAAAATTTCAGTCCAACCTTTCTCATTCTTCGTCCCAGATCATGGGGCATTGGGTCCTCGTTGGTTTTCTCGTAATGGCGAAGAAACATCTTCCAGTACGTATCAAGAGTACTAGCCTTCTTAATGCCTTTTGCGCGTCGCCTGTCCTGACCCCGCTTTACTCGAAGTCCCCAGTAGAGAAACTTCGTGAATTCTCTCTTTCCAGCCGCCCGAAGGGCGTGTTGAGGGTCTTTCCATCTCGAATCGGAAGATGTATGCTGTTTTCGGTGCTGTTTCCGACAGAATCTAGGCACTAGTTAGGTAATAGGCCATGAAGGATATCCACGGGTTCGCCTCGCCTACCTTTCCCAACGATTCTTCATAAATGCAATCTGTGTCTTCGTACCTTCTGCATAGCCATCGCTATCGCTATCAGATGAAGTGTCATCCGTCTCGATATCTGGATCTGTTGTAGATTCCCCTTCGTCAGTATCGCTTAAGCTTGTGTCGCTCCTCTGCCAGTCTTGGACCGTTATGTCGTTTAGCTGTATTCCTAGCCTAGGTTTCTTTTTTCGCCTTGTGTGGCGAGCCCGACTTTCTCCGTCATCATCGGATATACAGCTAGACCCGATTGATGACCCTCGGCTACGCTCACGTTTATGAGCGAGGGAAACACGAGAGTGGCGTCTACGGACTGACACCGAAGGAGGTTCCGGGGTTGACATGTCGGTTTCGGATTCAGCGTCACTTGCCTCAGACTCCGTGCGAAATGATTCGGAGTGAGGGCTTCCATCGCCAGGTCGACTTTGATGGCTCGCCATCTCGCCGTGTCGGTGGTACTGATCGGAGCGACCTGCAACGTCGGGAGATAGAGCGATGCAAGAAATCCAGCGTTAGAGGTCAAATGTGGCAGTGTAGTATAGATGCGAGTATATTTGAGAGGGAAGGTGATGTATCTGGAAAAAGCATGATCATTCTAGGGGGGCAGAGGTACTATTTATAATGATAAAGAATAACCCCCATTACTAAATCCGAGCAAACTATTGTTTTCCATTCCCGACTGCGGCCACGCATTGAAAGACATCGACTTTGCGGGAATCGGCAAGAAATGGGAGGTGAGCCGAGGGTGCGTACGGGTGAGGGCTGGGTGAGAAGCGGGTGATAACTGGGTGATAACTGGGTGATAACCGGGTGGGGCGGTCGTGGGGCGGCTTGTCGGGTGGGCCGTAGGCGCATTAGTGGGTGCGTGGGCGAGTCGCTTTAGGGGCCGTGGCATGAAGCCCCTGGGCCGACGACGCCATTTTCGGCGTCAAACGACGCCAATTCTGGCAGCTCCGGCCCAAACGGAAATATACTTCTAGTAGATTAGCTAATATAATCTAATTAAAAATATATAAATTCTAGTATAATTATCGTAAAACTATATATAGATAATATTTAATAGTACTTTTAGTTCTATTAAAAGAGATAGATAAATAGATATAGTATATAAAAATAGAATATCTTTTTTTCTATAGATATAAGTAAGAATAATCGATTTATTAGTTAGGTTAATAAAAATATTAGTCTAATCCTTCTAGCCTATCTTATAATTATAGAATATTCTTATTATTAAAAGTAAATTAAATAGGCCTTTTAGTATATATTTATATTTAATATCTAAAAGGATTATATAGTTAGGAAAAATTAAATTAGTTTTATATAATTATCTTTCCTTTTAATTTAATAACTTAATCTTCTAAAGTTTAGTATTTATAGCTATAATTATACTAGTAAGATTCGAAATAAATAATTATATCTCTATTAATATAGATTAATTATAAAGTACCTAAATCTATAATCTATTCTCTATAAGTTTATATAATATTTACTATTATAGATAGAATAGGTATTATTATATTAATTCTAAGGATATAGATTAGTTAGGGGTTAAATCTTTCTTTATTAGAGTTATATTCTTCTAGTAAATTAGAGGCTTTATTATTATTAATATAATTATTAAACTAATTATTAAGATTAAGTATAGTTATTATAAAATTACTTATAAAATCGTAAAAATAGTCTTTATTATCTTTAATAGTTAATAATAAGAAACTGTATAGTATATAATAATCCAATTTACTTCTAATTACTATAGATATTAGTTAGGTAGTTAATATTATATAGGTAATGCTGTTCATACCCCCTAGGAAAACTAGCGGTATACCCTGAGGCCTGATTTCGGCCTGATTTCGGCCTGATTTCGGCCTGATTTCTGTATTATTGCCTGATTCCTGCTAAGGCCGTTAGAACAGTTTAATACGAATTCAACCACGTATCTCTTTTTATTCACACACTAAATCCCCCCTTCCCTTCTATCTTCTTCCTACTAGGATACTTGTATAACTACGTGACTATATATCCTCTCCTTCCTAAGGCTATTCATATACAAGAGATCACATAACCCACACAAATCGAATTTAAAAACTATCCTACTAGGCTAATCATATGACACCTATCTATACCTTAGGTTTCTGGCTAAATCGCTACTTACTAATCTGCCTTACCTGTCTCTCCCTATCCTTTTCTGCTAGCACTAATCTCTTTGCCTTGCGACCGCGCGCGCTACGCCCTTGCCTAAGTTTCTTCTCCTAGTTCGAAGGTATTCGCCTTATTGATATATCGGGCCTCTTTAAAGGCAGTAGTACCACGATTCCTATAGTTTTATCTATAGAAACGTAGGTATTTCTGCTTCTCTTTACCCTAGAGTTCTGACTGGTGATATACTTTCCTCCCTATCTTTGAAAACGCTTAATAGTCTCTAGTAACTTCGGCTGCCTAATCCCTTTTACACGATTCGGTTCTTTAATACGAAGCCCTCTTCCTGCCTTCCGATTTGCCTAATTCGCCTGATTTGCCTGATTCGTCCGAAGATTTGCCTAATTCGTCTGATGATTTGCCTGATTCGTCCGAAGATTTGCCTGATTCGTCCGATGATTTGCCTGATTCGTCTAAAGATTTAGAAGGTATAGCTAGTATTGTTAGTTAAAGTAAGATTAGAGAAGAGGATTACCCTTTTCGAAGAGATCTTTAATTATATAATTATATAGGATACTAATTAAGCGCGATTAGTAATTAGTGTAAGGGGGTAGTGCCTTCTCTACGCGGAGATATTAATCCTAGGCGATTTTGACCTTTCGAATTATGTTATAAGAGATCTAGCTAAGGAGATTACGTAATAATAGGACTTGAAAGGAGACTAGGTATCGATGGATTTAGGATTGGATTAAGTAGAAAGCCTGCTAATTTATATAGGAAACGACTCGAGAGACTCCCTGTATTACTATAAGAATATCGCCGGTTGAGCTCCGAAGTTCCTTCTTAATCTTTATATAGGCTCCTTCTAGGCGCGAGGAAGTAAGCTTATCGTAGTAGGGGATACTATCAAGATAATAGCGTATAAATCGCTTTACCCTCTCTCTAAACTACTGCTTATTAATATATTTAACTACTGTCGGATTTTGTAGTAGGGCAGAAGGACAGTACGGTTATATGATATACTAAGTAGGCCAAAAATGCTCTATGGGCTATATTCGTAGCTTTCTTAGATATATATACCGTATCGTTCAGGGCCCGGACTTTCTAATAAGCGTATATGCTGATAACTACTAATTAGTAGATTAGATTGCTAAGATCTTCTAGGAAAGAGGCCTTCCTAGCTTCTATCCTATCTTCTATCCCTTCTAGGATAATCTATATAAATTTAGCCTTCGTATTTCGCTATAATTAGATGGTTTCCGTCTAAGCTTCCTGATTAGGAAGGCCCTGTAGGAGTAATTCCTTTAAAATTAACGGCCGAACTCGAGTCTTAATATTCTTTATAATATACTAGAGGCAAAGTAGGCCCTAACTATCCTTAAAGACTTATCTATATATATTTAAAAGAGAGTCTGCGTCGTCTGAAATAACGATACGAGGGACTTAAATCTTTACCTATAAAAGCTATATTTTATCGGATATAGATAGAATCATAAAGAATTCTATGATAGTCCATATGATATCATAGAATCTTATGGAAAACAAGATCATCATAATGAAATCACCACTATGTCGCTAGTTGCCACCGAAAACAGGGATCTATCAAATATAAATAGGACCTAAAGTCCCTGCTAGATAGTTCTTAATCTAAGTCCTGAATTTATTCTTGACAGCCTACCTACTACTATTCAATCTATCAACCTCTCTATACGATCTAGCTATACTATATAGCTCTATCTATAGGTTTGCTATACAATTATCCTTCCTATACGGTTTACACTTGCTCATATATTTAAAGAGTCTAGAGTATCCAAAAGTAGGACGCTTCTTGCTTATTGCTTATAAAGCAAAGGGTAATATAGAAGTTCTTTCTAGTAGAGACCTGCCTAATAATATCGACTAATAGTATATTATACCTAATTAATTAATTAATTAACTAATTAATTAACTAATCAATCTCTCTCTTACTAATTCGTCTTATATATAGTATCGATCTATAGGATATTCGGATAAATACGTAGAAACTCAAGGCCTTGTTTTGAGATAAAAAGGATTCTAATCGGCCGCCGTGATTCGTCTAATTCGTATTATATAATCTAATCTAGTAGGCTCTCTATCACGGCTTCGATTAAAGAGCGCCTATATAGGAAAATCTGTTTTACCCGGTCGCGGAGGTTTTAGAGATCTTTCAAGCTAAGGAGACTTCCCTTAGACTTTAAAATCAGCTAAATTCCTATAGGTTTTAGGCCCTTTGCGAAGTAATCAAGAAGTCGCTCCTCCTTCTTAGCTCTCTCTCTTTACCTTAAGGTCACAAGAAGATTTTATAGTGTAGACCTATAGTTATATATAGGATTAATAATCCTAATAATATAGTAGTTCGGTTATACCTTCCTCCTATCCTTCCGAAGGTAGATTTGTATATAGAAAGGGCAATTCGTTCTAATCTTGCTAACCTCTCGCGATTTAGCCTTACTAGCTATAGAGGGACCCCTCTTAGTAGGGTATAGCTAGAGAGAACAAGATAGGTTAACCTTCCTTTCCTCCGATCTCTTGATTACTAGGGTATAGCTATATAAAGAGGCAAATTCCTGTAAATCATTATACGCAATCTCTCGCGATTAGTAGATCTTACCCTCGGTAGGTAGCGGCGGTAGAGGATTAGTAGGTAGATTAGTAGATTAGCCTAGTAGGATAGATTTTAAATTCGATTTGTGTAGGTCATATGATCTCTTGTGTATGAATAGCCTTAGGAAGGAGAGGATAGGTAGTTACGTAGTTATACAAGTATCCTAGTAGGAAGAAGATAGAAGGGAAGGAGGGATTTAGTGTATGAATAAAAAGAGATACGTGGTTGAATTCGTATTAAACCGTTCTAACGGCCTTAGTAGGAATCAGGTAATAATACAGAAATCAGGCCGAAATCAGGCCGAAATCAGGCCTTAGGGTATACCGCTAGTTTTCCTAGGGGGTGTGAACAGCATTACCCTAT